GAGGATTGCTGTTTCCTGTTCTTGTGTTAATTGTATTCACTTCCTGTTTGCTGTGTCTGAACCGTGTTATACTTACTACCAGATTGTTTACGGATTAAGCTCACTAATTTCTAGGTTTATCTGAACATCAGCAAATTTTTTTGAGTCACGACAAACGCCTGCACTACTTAAGCACCGGTGTTACAGAAGTTCTTGCCATTTTCGAAATTTAACTTGCTACTTTAGGTCAGCTAGCTTAGAAGCTAGCTAAGCTAGTAGCTTAGTTGAGAGCAACTGCTTCCCCTCTTCCTCTCCTTCCTTCTCTTGCTTGAGTGTCACAGGTTCAGTTATTCCTCTGCCTCCTTTAGCGATAATGGTACTTGTAATAAATGTCAGATGCTAGAAGCATTGGAGGCGAGGCTCACTGAATTAGACGTGCAGCTCCGCACAGTGGAAGTGCGGCCCAGTTAAACTGGCCCATGTAGCCGGAGCGGGGCCTCCTAGACGTGGCTCAGTCCAAGCTAGCGGACCCCCAGTACTACCTGAGCAGCCGGGAACTCTTCCAGGTGGTTGAGTGACAGTTCGCAAGAGTCGTAGCTTGAAACAAATGCCCACAGTGCATCACCTGCCTGTTCACGTTTTGAATCGATTTCCCTCCTCAGAAAACAACTCTGGTAATTGGCAACTCTATAATCAGAAAAATGAAACCAGAGACACCAGCGGCCATAGTCAAATGTTTTCCTGGGGCCAGAAACCCTCCACAATTTATTCCGTTAAAGGGAGTTTTTCCTCCCTGCTGCGAGTATATCCATTTTATGTTACTTTATACTTCTAGTACAATTCTATTCTTCTATTACAATCTACTTCTTTTACCTCTTTGAGTTTCAAGCTGAATTGTAAAAGTATCTGTTACTCCACCAAATTAACAGTAAAGTCTTAAGGGATACTTCTGAGCACTTCTTCCACCACTTTTTATTACACAACTGCCTTCCTTATCTTCCAAAACAATGATTTTGTTTACAAACCCAATAGGAAGTCCTCTGTTAGCACCACTTTCTCATAACATGTTAACAAAAGCCCCCAGTGTTCCCCCAGCTGACAGGAGTCAGTGGACTCCTGCCATCTTTAATCTCTGTGGGGTTAGAGAGATCCATAAGCTGCCTCCAAGACCTGGAACTTTCAGCAGTGAAATCAATGTGACAATTCTTTTCCATCTGTGAAATAATGGCAAGGACACATTTGAATTAGATCAATCTCTCTTAATCACCCTTGCAATATTTCCTGTGCAACAGTATGAATGCATACCTTGAAAATATGAAATGCCGGACGTGCCGGTTTTCCTCTAATTACAGTCAAAATGCCAAATTAGCCATCTGGCCTTCTGCTTTATAAACAGTCTGAGGCTTCTGATATACTGTAACCTTCAGCACCATGGCAGAACAAAAGTCTAAACAGAATCACATTTACTTGTTGTTCCTTGCAAATAAAATATAGCCTATACCAAATAAAACACAACCAATACAGGAGACAAACACTACCACATGACCAGGAAGTTGAATTTTATCAGCTGATTTTTGCATATCAAGGAACTATATATAGAATCAGTGTAAATGGCATTAAAGTAAGCAGTGGGTGGCATTGTGATTTATGACAATCTGTTAAACTACAGTTTTCTCTTTCTGATTGAATCCAGCTGTGTTTAATATGTCAAAGCATGCACATTAACAACAGTTTATTACATCTCTGCACAAAATGTATCTAGTTACAGAATAAGGAAGTTAGAAATACAAAGAAACCTCTCTAGGACATTGAGCTGTTCAGAATTCAGGACTTAGTCAAAGTACTTAAAATAATTGGCCTATATTTGAGCAGTACTGTATCTGCCTCTGCACAATAAAGTAAATCAATCACCATGTTTGGTTAAAGCAAACAAAAAAAATGGTGTGCTTCTAGTTTAGAGAGATGTTCTTATTTTCAACTGTATCTTACTTTGCCAAAAATCACTGTGCTCTGTATATTCAGTTGACTGGAAGAGGTTCCAAATATAAAATACCAATTTGTTTAAGGTTCATGAAAATGTTTCCACTCTGGAGGGATTAAAAATAGGAATCAGCTAAAATGGGGGATGGAAGGGGTCACTTAAATCACTGCTCTCACTGCATGTTTGTGTTATCCTAGGCAGAGTCAGTGACTAGGAGCATGAGTTGCCCAAAACCTGTTTCACACTAAACGCTTTGCTTTCCCCGTTTCTTTAATCAAATGCACATTTTTCTGTCCTCTGTAATAAATGTCTTCCAAGATGCTGTATGACCAATGATTTCAAAAAGCAATAATGCAGAAAAATGGATAACCCCCCCACCCCCCTACCCCACATACACATACACAAGATGCTCTGGAAAAAGAAACTGTGTCGTCTAGTAAAATTCCATCAGCATACACTCAAAACCCCCATAAAAACCTTTTCAATCTATATGTTAATGCCACGAATTAAAATTTAATAACAAGAGATATTGAAAAGCGGACCTGAATTATACAAAAATAAATCCTGAAAATCAGGCCCCTAAAATTAGAAATTCAGGGCGGCATCCGGTCTGTTGCTAAACCCTTGTAGGCTGGCAGATTAAATTTTTGATGAAAATCAAAATTACACTGACGCAGGCGCAGCAAACCTGGCTCTATTGTGATTTATGGATTCATTAAACCCGCGGGAGTTTCACCCCTCCCCTTTTGCCTCAAAGAAATGAGATTTGCTTTGCTGAAAATTTGTATTTTCAGACAAGCTACTCAGGCTCTGCTCTACCTTCAGAAAATGGTCAAGCAAAAAAAGAAGCTTCTGTGTACATAACCACTGCACGTAAACAGGCCTAATTTTCATTGCTGCAGCAATTGAATGCCCTAATGCATTATTCATGAAACCAATAAGGTTCATTTTTACAAAGGAAAAAGCTGAAAAAATATGTGCAGAATGTGCAGATTTTCCTTTTTATGCAGAAGCCCAAACCCTGAAAAGCCTTTCCCTAGAGACTAATTTAAGATAAGCCATTTTCAGACATTTTCAACATGCCACTAAGAAAGTAACAGAACATAAGATGTTCACTACATTTAAAATGGATGCATGTTTCATCAAATACATCCAAGCACAATTCTGTTATTGAACATTAAGAAAAATGAGCTGGCAAAACATCAGACAGTTTGTGTAACAAACCTTACCTTTTGAAATGGAAAGCAAAACCTCCATACTAAGGCTGATTACAATTAGAGAAGCAACTATATTTCAGACAGTCAAACCCACAGACTGTGATATGATCCCTTGCCAGCTTGTGTTTATCAGTCCCCGAAGGGACAACTTTCACCTCTCCATTGAAAGTATTTGCTCCAAATATCCTCAGTGATGCAAAGATTTTGTTCATTAAAGTACTGAGAGACCAGCATTCCTCTTACCTTTCGTAACACTGCAGCATTATTCCAGAGACTTGTATAACTTATTACTTGGTGCTTCATGTATTCTGCATATAAACATTCCCATCACTCACAGCTCATGACACTGGTTGCCTCTGTTCAGTCCTGTACTTGAACTGAAACTGCTGCATTTTCATTATACTAAAGAAACAAAGGTCAAGATTTACACCCTGATTTTGCATATGCCATACAAGTTCCACCAGCTTTTTGAATTTATACTGATTTGAAGGTCAGCATTAAAATTACCCACAGCAAAATGGCCTCCACAGTTTCCCTTACATTAAAATAAAAGCAAGCTATGCAAGATGGGAAACTGTTTGGTGTCTGCAAGATTAATATAAACAGTAGAGGCACTGGTAGTGATTGTTTTTCCTGCCCTCAAATTATGCTGACATGGTCTTTCTTCTTCCAGTGCTGTTCATTTCACTTTGGATAGTTATTTTCCACTTACACATTTCCCATCTTTAGAAATAAAAGTCCAGATTGTTCCATAATTGCAGAGCGGTAAATTCTAGCCGTTTTCCCAGCACTGCATATAAATACAGATTCATACAAAAGGAGCAAAAGTACAGTTGCGTGGATGTTTGGCTGAAGAGATACAGGATGGACTGGACTATTATTTTTTTCTCTCAGAGTACAGGCACATTTCTCAAATGACAACCAGTTTTTAAAGAAATGCTTACACATTTAAAATTCATTATAAATAAAACAAAAATGAATTAAGTTGCACAATGCTGTGAATGTATTTTTTTAAAAGGGCTTTTTTTTTTTGCATTAATTAGCATGAAGGTCACATGGTGCTTTTAATTTTAATCTGAAGTAGAGATTCACGGAAAACGCCTATTCATTTCAAAAGCATTGCAGCATTCCTCAATTCAATCCAACTATTATTCAGTTTGATAAAACAAGTCTCAAAACTAGTCTCATTGCAATTTTTTAATTTCTAAAAATGACTGCCTACAGGTGGCGCCAATGACACCAGAATTGAATTCCTCTATCTTCCTAAAAATAAAAGTCTAGATGTATTTTGACATGACGACACCTCGGTGGGTCTTCTTGTCAGTCTAAAATGAACACCAAGCCGTCAAATGCAGCCAAAAGTAACGTTAGTGTTGTGTGAGTTTCACAGGAGCAACTCCGGAGCTCTGCTCAAATTTGCAGGAAAATTCACAAAACATGGCTGCAGGAGGTTTTTGTGTTTCAGATTGTTCCTCCCCTCATCGTCCTTCATGTTGCCTCTCTCGCCTGGCTCCCTGCTTCTATCGGAACATACACAGTGTTTTGACGCGTTTTTATGTGAGCAAACTCAGCGCACATACGACCAGTCAGCAGTTACACGGAAACTTCATTACGAAAATTCGGCCAAAAAACATCAACAGATTAGATCTATTTCGGCTGTCTTAAAAAGCCTGCACCTGGTTTAGTGGCAGGCAATAGTGCGAAAACATCGACAGGTTTCGTTTACTAAGTAGAGGGGACAAGAACTTAACATCCGCTATTGAAATTTCTCAAATTTAGGATTTCTAAATCAGAAAAAAGAAAAACACTGCAGTTTGACATACCTCCAAAAACGATGCAGCTCATGCGAAAAAGGCTCCCGCTCCAGAAATCTTCCCTCCCCGACCAGAGGTGGATGCACAACTGCTTCCTCAAAAAACTGTGAATTAGTTATGAGAAATTCCAAATGTTAACAATTTTCACCACAGCGTGTTTTTCCTCCGTGACACGCTACGTTACATCTTACTAAAAGAGTAATGGCGTAATGAATTGAATTTGCCCGAGACTCCTTGCAAGCTCTCCGCTTCTGCCTTGCACAGGGGGGGTTTGTGTTGCGGTTCCTCCTGTGGAAATTTTCGTCCGCCATATACAAGGGCAGATTCCGAAATTGCAGCGCCGGCCTGTATATTAGCCTACATGAAAAAAAAAGAAAAAGGAAAAAAAGTCTGGAAGAAGACAGAAAAAAGTGGTTGGCCGACTATGAAGTTACACAGGGAAAAATGAGACGAAATTACGCAGAGGGGAAAATTCTCATGTGAACTGAGAACATTATGTAGGGCTTCAGCTCTACAATGTGTGCTATTGAGGTATTATGGTTTTATTTCCCTATTCCGACAAGAGTCTCTGATTGGGTCATTGGCTATGTCAAATCACCATAGCCTTCTAGGTATATGCAGTTTTGCTTGTGTTTCTTGAAGTTTAGATTAGAACCGGAATCAGAATCTGCTTTATTGGCCAGGTGTGTCGGACACACGAGGAATTTGACTCTGGTACATCGGCTCTCAATGTGTATATGCATATCCCCATGCAAGGGGCAAGTAAGCAGTAAACCAGCATATGGCTGTGTAATATAACAAAATAAGCAGTATTAACAAGCAACAAACAATGCAAAATAAGCAGTATAAACAGGCAGTAAACAATGCAGACAGACAAAGGAATGCTCACTCGGAAATGAGATAAATAGGAATAAAAATAGAGTACTTAAAAATAGAGACCTGTACGGATCTGTATAATCTGTACAATGTATATTTACAGGTATTGCACTGAGGGTTATTAGAAAAGATTAGATTAAAAAAGAGAGTTGCAGCCACCATGACCTATTGTAAGAATAATAGTTCGGTGTGTGTGTGTGTAAATAAATCAGAATTATAACATTTACTACAAATTATTTTTGTAAAAAGAGTGGCCAGTAATTCACTAAATCTACTGATGTTATTGCTGTTTACTGCAGCAGTCTCCACATGCAGGTTGCTTGTCACGAGAAAGGTTTTGGTTGGCCAACAAATTTTGATTTCAAAACCCCAATGTGAGAATTAATCTTTTTTCCCCGTTAGAGATAGCCTAGTTTTTGTTTCCTAAAAAACAAACAAAAAAGTTTTTTGCCATGTTCAACAAAACAGCGTCATATTTTTAATTTGTTGGTGAATTGGATAGTTTGTTGTATTAATGGATTTTAATGTAAAATGACTGAAAAACTGCCAACAAAGAGAGAGATAGGCTACATAAAGCTGTACATTCATTCAGTATAATATTAACTCTCACTATACACCCAGGGTTTCTTTTGTATGATTTATTTGCAGTGCATTCACTCCCCCAGAACTGTTTTTAAGAAAAGTGAAGAAAAAAACTGTACAAAACAATTTAAATCACAAACATTCAATAATTTGTTGCATACTTATTTTCCCACTTTTACTGTGATAAAATCCACTGTCAAGGTTATTCACAAGTACAAATCAGGGGAAAGATGCAAGACAATTTCCAAGGTGCCAAATGTCCCTGAGAGTTCAGATCAGATATTATGATATAGCTACACGTGCCTTCATAAAAAAAAAAACTGGCAGTGCCTATGAGAAGGGTCTTGAGGGAGGCCCCCAGATGGCCTACAGAAACTCAGAAGGAGCTGCAGCTATCCTGGTTCTTCACCACTCACTTATTTACAGCAATGGGGAAAAGAGAAAATAACTTTTGAGTGCTTTTCAGAGGGCAGTCAAGAGTCACTTAAATGAATAATCCAATGAGATCAGTAATATGTTTCCTGGGACTCACAGCCATACAAAAAAACAAGCCTCTCTTCACATCAGCAAAAAAAAAAAAACAAAAAAAAAACAAACAAACAAAAAACAGTACCCCTGTCATGAGTCTTGGTGAATATATGAAGCAGAACCATCATGCTGAAGCTTCTCTGTAGCTGGCTCTAGAGGGCTTGGGAGAGCACAGGGTCAAACAGTGCAAGAAAATACAGAAGATCTTGGAGAAAAACTTGCTGTGATTTACAACAGAACTGCAACTTGAGAGAAGATTATTATTATTGTCGTTGTTGTTGTTTATTTATTTGCTGGTGTCAAAAACCTAATTACATTTCCTGGTTTGATAATATATTGTTTTGAAACAAGGCAGAAAAAAAGGTGCAAGGAGTCCATTTTAGAGGCACTGTATCTGTTATATCTACTATATTTTCCTTTCCTCATTGGTGATTTATTTTAATAAGGTTTCAGAAAGATATTTGATCATTTTATATTAAAGATCATTTTCTAAAATATGATAACAGTGTCACAGTCTTCTCATATTCACAGCCCTTTCCTTGTTTTGGAAAGTAATGACATCACTCATAGTTTCACCAGTGAATCATTATACTTACAATTTAGGGACCGAGTAATAATATACAGTTAAGAAATGCAGTTGATTTGCCCTATCCAACCCTGTCTTTCTCACACTGCATTTATTTTCTCTGTCCAGCAGAGAGCACCAGCATACCAATGAATAGTCACTCCCATTGCTTCTCTGCAGAGGCCAGTGAGTTCACCACATCAGTACATTATATGTAATGCCAGCTCCCTTTTAGCTCTATCTCCCTCTGCTGTTAATGGTTTTGCTCATCCATCTCAGTCCACCACGTTAATACTGCCTCTGTGCTCCTTTACGTATTCGGGATGGTGTGTTTTCTGTGACATAACATTCAAGGAAAGTTCATGAGTTCATGCTCATTCAGGCATTTCTCCATGCAGGAAAGTTTAGCATCTATTGCAAAGCACTGAAGTGATTTTTAGATGGTGCTGTTAAATAAACAAAAGCATGGAAGAAATATTATGCAAATAGTATCACAATATTACAGCTTGTTATGCAGGCCAGACCATTAAGTGCTTAATGGCACAGGAACAAAATTAAAGTCAAGGAAAGTCAATTCTGTAATGTAATTACAGTGATATGATCAAATTTGTTGGTCCTAGTCAAAATACAAGTTTTAAATTAGCTAAAGAGAATAAATGGCTTTCATAGAAAAATAAGATCAAGAGGGTATTGCAGTTATATTTTCTGCTGGTGAGAGCGGCATGGACAAGTGTTTTCAGGTCTGACTGGGATTTGTTTTTACGTCTTCAATTTTTGAAGGTTATTTTGGTGGTGCTACTGATATGTGAGTAAAAACTAAAGTCTTCATGATAACTTCAAGGATTCTTTGTTTATAGACAAGAATTGTGAAGATAGCTAACTATTTGTGTCCAAGAGTTTCTGGCAAAACTCAGTTGTCATAAATCACTCAGTGTTGTTAGAAGAGCTTTTCTACTTATTCCAGAGTGATGACAACAAAGGTACATAGTTTTGAGGTCTAATTGCCAGCTAGAGACGAAAGTGGAAGACTGGCTATTTTGGGAAGAGGGAGGTGACTAATACTGAAGAAGGAGTTTTCCCCTGCAACTGAAACATTTAGCAGCTCAGAAATTGGGGATAAAATCTAACAATTAATGTGTCCTTTAATATCTCACAATACACTCTGTCTTTCCTGTGGTATCTTTCACAGCTCAAGGTTGGCCTGACCTCGTCTCAGCCTACTTTTTGAGAACTGTTCTTTCCACTGGCAGATGATCCAACAGGTGAGAGGCGCTGACAGCAAGGACACTATTTTTTCTCAGTGACCTACTGGAGCTTGAGAGCAACCAGACCTTTGCTGCACCCTCAAGAGCTCTATATAAATTAGACAGTATTCACTACATTGAGCTTACTACAGTCTTCAGAAATTTTACAAAAATAAAATGCATAAAGACAACAACAACCTACATTAAAATGAACTTTTGTGCCAGAGAAAGAACTACAAAAATATCCAGAATTAAAGAACAAGTGGTGCAGGAATTTTTGTACAAAATAAGTCACTGTGGGTGTCTCAGGTTTACTATATTTAAAGTATTTTACATTTACTTTTGTATGCTATAAATTGTCATTGCTCCACATCCAAAAACTTAACTTTGTGGAGATTTCGTGTTCTCCCCATGTCTGTGTGGGTTTTCACTCGGTGCTCTGGCTTCTTCCCACAGTCCATAGACATGCAGATTATCTGGTGACACTAGGTGTGAATGTGAGTGTGACTGGTTGACTGTATGTGTCAGTCCTGCGACAGACTGGTGACTTGTCTAGAATGTACCCCGTCCACTGTCAGCTGGGATTAGCTCCAGCCCCCCACCCCCCACCCTCTACAGGATATATGATATAGATAATGATATGAATGGATGGATGGATGGATGTATGGATGGACAATCATATAGACATACATACGTATGTAAGTATTTGGGCATTGTTCAGGTTAATGTCTAAATAAAATAAATAATACTGAAGGCAATCAGTAAATATACAGTATGTGCTCAATAAAGTGAACAACAGAGCAATGTGTGTGCATGATCAGTAAACACAATGATACAATCTATGACCAATCTCTGTTGTCAGTTAAAATACCATGTACCTCCGTGTGACCAGACAGGGCAATAGTTCATTATTTACCTGTATTGCTGGTATAAGAAAACAATAGTTGTTTGCTGACAGACAGATAAAAGCAGGCAAGAATCCTGATGTTGTTTGTTATGCTGCCAATAGTAATTGCAGGTTTTTGTCAAAGGGCAATCAAAGGCCTCTTGTGTTCACACAGTGTGTTATTACGGATCAGGCAACCTGTTCCAATCAAATGCTGAGCCCAAGCTAAAAACAGAATTTTTTTTCTAAGGTGACTGATTTAAAAAACAAGTTATAGTTTAAAAGAGAGAGATCACTTACATATAAAAACACTAAAGCATTATACACTTCTACATGTATGGTGTGTACTTTCAACTTCCATTTGTGACTTTTTAACATAGTTTCATCCACAGGCAGATTATACCCTTCTCATTTACTTTACCCACACATCTAAGTACAGCTGTGTTTAAAAAGACTATTAGTGGAAGTGCAACTTTTATCCTGTTTTACTCTAACAAAAACAGATTCCCCAATAGCACAAGTAGCACTTTGCCTATTTTAAGACAAATGACAATTTTCTTTTCAACCTCAACCTGCAGGTAATGACAGATGCTTAGCTGTTTTGTTCCTTTTATAATTGCAAGCCATGACAGGAGCACACAGCAAAAAAAAGCCCATAATTGCACCATATTTACACTTACAGTTATGATAGGGCAGTTTGAGCTGACTAATCCTCCTATGCTTTCATATGGACAAGAAGTCAAGAAAGACTGAGGGAGAAGCTAAGAATAAAACCTGCTATGATTCTGCAGTAAACCTCTGCTGCCCACAGTGACAAAATGCAGATGATTACAGCAGTGCCCTTTCCAAAGCTAGTCATAGTTATCCACTTTACTCGGACGTTGTTTCTATGTTTGGTAACTGTACAGTCAAGGACACAACTTAAAATCATTATGAAGGAACTGAAAATATAAGAGAATGAGTGTAATGTACAGTATACATATCTACATTAGCACTAAGATGCTCAGTCCATTTATGTCTCCAGCTGTTTAACTTCATACAGGATAGCCTTTATCACACTTCCATTGTGGAGAAGCCCACAGACCTCAAACAACAGGGTCTTTAGCACCAAATAGCACTCAGCATTTTGTTGTCTTGTTTTCATAGATTTTCTTTTGGAAATTATTTGCAATGTTTTTCCCCTTGTGGCTGCTCTGGGGGATAATTGGTTCTTATTTCCCGAGGAGTGTTATTTGAAACCACTGGTGAACAGTTTTATCCATTACTTTAAATACACATTGTTGTCTTTCATGTCCCTTGTTGACTGTGATTTATGTTCTTTATAAATTCAAGTGAGAAAACAGATGGATGATCATCAATCTTAGCAAATTGCTTTATAATAGTGAGGAATATGATACCATGAAAAGCAGGAAAGTTTGATGAAGTTCAGATGAGTTGCATTGCATTGTTTATATGCAATTTGGGTTTGTGTTATGCCAAAGATCATTTTGTTACTTGGCCATGATAGGTTGTTTAATTTCTTTCTTTCTACCATTTGATAAACAAGGAAACAAGGGCATATTTGGTCTTTGCCTGTGGAGCATTATTGAGGAGTACTTGTCAAACATTGATTGAATCTAAAAGATCTATTTCTCTTATTTACAGCCATCTATATAAAAATTTTATTCTTCACATTGAGCCAAACACACAGAGATGTTTGTCTTGTTCTGAACAAACAGTGTCTTTTCTCCACCATGTAGTCATTTTTTTTTTTGCTTCACATGATAGTAATCTATCACAAAAGTGGTTCCAGTACTCACTCTCTGCAGCTCGCTGTGAGTTCAAAATTACCAACATGAAGCACAGATCATCCTGTTCCATGCTTTATCTGTCTTTTTATTCCCTTTTGTCTCCAGCCTGTGTCAGAGTCGTTCTTTGGACATCCCGCTGTCGTCCAGAAATGACAGGTAAAAAATAAAAATGGAAAACGAACCACTATAAACAAATACATTTGATATCTACTAGAGCTAGTGATGTAACGTTGAAAGACTTTCTTGTAAGTTTTCTGAGCATGGACAGGTTTACACTGATGTGATGATAAGACTGAGACAAATCATAGTCAACCATAAAACTACAGTCAGGAATATCTTGTACAATGTTATCACGTACAGTGATAGACATTATACTCCCCACAGCTTTATCCTTGCTGGCTTCCCTTCTCCCCATTGCTGAACTCATCACCAGCTAAATAAAGAACATACACTGACAGACTAATTGACTTTAGTGTTATTAAATACAATGACAACAACCATCTGTCATAACAGAATAAAACTAGGAAGCCAGCCAAGTTAAAGAGACAGATTACAAAGCACCCAAGTATGAAGGAAAACAAAAAGATTTTTCCATCTGCAGAGGGAGGAAGATACTTGCCAGAAATTTCAGTTGGTGACAAAGTTTTGCAAAAATCACAGATGGCTTCTTATCAAGTTGAGGACAAATACCACTGTACAATAAATGACCATCTGTTTGAATTTTTATATGTGAAAATTGAATAATTCAAGTAATAATGTGTTTTGTCCACCACTGTAAACCCAGTGGGACATGCAGTATATCCTCTATAAAATATGAGAATATAAAGTATTTCAAAGAATCCAAAAGTTCAATCAAGGTCAAGGTCAAAGTGTTTACACAATCATGATTGTGAGAAGAGAGATGAATAAAACAACTGATATAAAGTAATAAGTAGCCAAAACTGCATCCTGATCTATCATCAGAAGCAAGCGATGCCCCCAGCCTCAATCAGATCATCTCCAGGGTGGCAGCCTCATTATGGTTGGTCAGTGCTATATTAAGATCACACTAAAGGCCCTCATTGTCAAGTACAACCTCGGTTTTATTTTCTAATTAAACAAAAGGCAGCTATGAAACTGTAACAGTAAATATCTGGGACAAGAGGAACCCCCTAAACACAAATTACTAGATAAATGCATCAGGAAAGCAAAACCTTTCAAGCTATTCATAAATTACATGTATCCATTAGGAATGTGTTCCTTTCAGATTTGTGTGTGTGTGTGTGCGTGTGTCTGTAGGTTGGCTTGACCTGAGCATTGACATCATATAAATGAGCAGTCTATAAATGGAACCTCATTAGTGGGCTGTTATAATAGAGACAGGGCATCTCAAGGACCCTTAGGGCTTTGAATTCTGCCACTTCGAGATGTTTTTGGTTCTTTCACAAACGCATGCATGTCTTAGTTCTTTCCCACTCTCACCTTTGAAAGCTTTATTTTACTATAAAAAATGATAAATGCAAAATATTTAAACTCCATAAGCTTTGTTAATGACTTATCTATCTATCTATCTATCTATCTATCTATCTATCTATCTATCTATCTATGCAAATTCTCAATCATCCAGGTCGTAGTATGCTGAAAAAAACTGGACGCAGTTTCAGGTAGAAGACGTTTTGCCTCTCATCCAAGAGGTTTCATCTGGTCTCTGAGAAGTTTTTTCAGCACCTTCTGTGTATTCTGCACTCACTCTGCACTCCTCTTGTTCAGCTTGGTTTAATCTCCTTTGTCCTGAATGCCTCATGACAAGCAACTAAAGATAAGTGTGAGAGGGAGACTTAAAAGAATTACTTAAATAATTTTCATTTCTAAATACATGGAGGACATTTGACAGTTACAGCTCTGGCCTGTGAGAGACAAATCTGAACAGTTTTACTTGTCTTTAAAATCTGCCTTCAGGTTTGTTTGATTCTTTCATCATCTGACCCAACTATTTGGAGCTTGTTCTATCTATTGTTCTCTTTTCTGAGTATTATCTTTACAACGTCCTCTGTCCTCTTCAGCATCTCTCACATCTTTTTTTAATTTCCTGTTTCCACTTTAGACTTATCACAACTCCCGCCCCCTCCTCAATTCCTCTCCCTCCCTGTCTGTCTCTTGTGAATGGAGAGTCTGTGACTGAGATTGCAAAGGGACTCCGTGCCCTACACAGAGATGTTACAAAACACTGCCATACTTGGTATTCATAGAGCTGCCCTACTTTCATCAGTACCTATATGTGCAAGTACACACACCTATATTGAATGGATTTATCCACAAATTGTTTGTTCATAAACTGGTTAGTTCACATATCGTATGAAGGTTTGCTAACAGAACTGATCTGAGACTGTGGAAATGAATATATCCATCTATTAGCCTGCACTGTGCTGTGGTTACATTAGCCACTGCTACTGCTGATTATGGGACATTACAAAGTGAGTATGGGAAGTTGACAACTTTCTCCACATATTTGTTATTGCTCAATAAATGAAAAGTGGCATTTCTGTCTCCCCACTGTGTCTCTAAGGTAGGCTGTACAGTAGCTCAAACAATTAACTGGGTGACAGGTTTTGAACAAAGCTAGAACCCAAAGCCTTTCCCATTTCTCTTTTTCTCTGTGTAAATAAGGCACATTGCAAATGAATACAAACAGACATCAGATCCTACTATAACACATGATAGAGAAAGAGAAAATGAACTATTATACCACAAACTTCAACAAACAGGGCCTAAGATATTATGTGTGTTTGTACAGGTGCTGTCTAAATTTATTTTTATTGAAAACCACAGTATTTCAAAGGGAACATGTGTAAATACAGCCCAAAAGAGTTCAAATGACTAAAACCATCAGATACTAAAATAAACACTTATCAGACATGACAATGTACAGTAGTGGCCTTTTCAAGCAAGCAGAGTAGAGTTCTGTCCCTCTTTTGAAGGTAATAGATAACCTTTTGCTGTTGGCCACAAAAAATCTTAACTGCGTATTTCAGGCCTGGAAAATACAGAAGACAACGTAATGTGACAAGACAAAAATTGAAATGGCAACCCAAAAAAAGCACCAGAATTTCACCTTTTACGGGAAAACTTGTACTTTAATTTTACCTCAGGACCCTCCTTTTCTGGGGGTGGACATGCTGAGTTATCCACTATACCCAAAACGAATAAAAAAAAAAAACCTGTCAGCCTATACTGTATGTTTTCCCTATGCCTCATTTCCCCTCAGACCAGAAAGACAGGAATGGCATCATTCTCATAATCACTGTGTTTGGTCATGCTTTCTTAAAGCATTTCCACTAGGGGCAAAAAGTAACATACTAATGTGTATATGCTTCTCCCAGTGTTTTTGTCTTTCACTCTGAAAACCAGATTTTAAGAGCTGCTTAAGCCTGTTAGTCCCAGCTGTGATGTAAAGCATGCGTCATCACTGAATTGAGTGTTATGAGCATGTGTTTGATATAATTACTGAAACATTGCATCTGTGTGTTTGTGTGTGTGTCTGCTGATATTTGAAAATAAATTATGCTTTCTCACATTCTCTGTGTTGATTTATTTATTTTATATATCTTTTTGTTGGTGAATTTAATGCTATATTGGATGAACTCTGTAGACAAACACCACTCACCATTTCTGTGTAAGTGGGAGCTGATTTAAGTGGCACGCTCAGACATTTCCTGTTATAATGTCAGTTCAACCAGAAAAAAATTCCACTGACACTGATATTTAAAACATATAAGAGTCAGGAAACAGCTAATGAACACCAGGTGTGCTTGCTGATTGCTCAGAATTTCAACTGGTATGTATTAACTGTTGCTTCCTGACTCTTCCACCTGCTTCTAATGATGGCTTTAAATGAAACCGTATGCTTGAAACAGCAATACTCCAGTCCTATTTTTGGAGTAACTGTGCTTGTACCAAAAAAAAAAAGATGAGTTACACAAGTTTTTTTCTTTTTTTAACAACTTAATTTGGCACAAGCTCCCAAACTTGCTCAAATAATTTAATATTTGGGAAACTGTACATGTGTACAGGTAGGTGAGATGATGACATAATTTAGTATGAATAGACATGTATCTGATGATATGGGAAATACAAATAAAGGGATTTTTTTGAGTAACCACAGAAAAGAGGAAATGTACTGGTTTATATATTTTGGGAATAACTGTGGGCTGACTGTTACATATAAGGCTATTGTGAGAGGAGTAAAGGGTGAGGTGACATTCCTGGTAGAACCCCTGTTATAATTTTGTTAGCTATTTTTAGTCTCAGACAGTTCAGCAACATGTGTTTGATCATCCTTTGTATGCTGAGAGGAAGGAGGAGAGGACTTGCCAGTTATAATATTATTGGTGACCGTTGACATTTTGAGGGTAAGAACAAATATCTAAAAGCTTAACTGCAGCTAGATAGGTTGTGTAACTAAAATTTAATTAGAACTACTAAAAACATTCCTATTTTGAGTGGGTTGGCACCAAAACTGCACCCGCCGAAAAGCTTTGATATGTGTTCTTAAGTATTTAAGGGAGGTAATGAGATTATTAGAAAAAGATATGTTATTTGAAGTCTGTTTCACTTACCAGACATTACTTTTCTTAGACATGTGGTATCCTGCAAAGAATGTCTTCATATCCTGTTACAAATAAAATAGAAACTGGCCATATAATATGTATTCAAGGCATTTTAGTTTGTCCATTTGTCATTATAAACATTCATACATTAAATTCCAATTTTGCAAAAATTTGACCATACGCCATCTCCCTTATGATGATCTCCGAGGCCATTTATCAGCTTGTTTTTTAAACTCATATATCACAGTCAGGTGATGTAAATTACATTCAAGCCACTCGTCAAGCCAGTACAGAGTAGGGATCATGTTGCCAGTCCCTGGTTCCTGTTTTCTAACTTTACATCAGAAAATGAGATGAGGACTTTCCTGACTGTATCCCATGAGATCAAGCCCTGGTTGCTAAGAGACTAATGGAAAGTCAGGGCCTGAAGGAATGACAGGAGTGAGTCGCTGATCATGGAAAATCAGAGAGACTGACAGAAAGAGGAAATTAAAACAGGAAATAAAAAAAATACTATAATAATTACTTCTTTGGTTTGTTAGACACCTGTTTGCTTGCCTGTGCATGTACAGCATAATACTCCATTAATCCCCAATCTCAGCGCCTGCCTTATTTGTGTTTATACAGTAGCTGAGTTCCTCAGGAACTTTAATTTTACTGCATCCTTCTAGTGAAACAAAGCTAATGTAGTTACACAGCCACATCTGTGCAGCATGTCCTTGATGATGTGTCACAGAGCTATGAAAGGCACGAGCAGGTTAGCAGAATTTTAAATGCATCACTGGGCCCTCCCAGGCCTATTAATGTTCTGTTGATGTCACTACAATGAATCTGGATTTGCACAGTGATTAATGCCTTCATGGACTGAAGCTAAAATGCTGGACTCCAAGGTCCAAAGTATGTGAGACTGTAGTGAATGTGTATCTGTCTGTTCAGGCAAAGAGCTGAAGTGGGTTCTTTGACCTGGCGATTATTTGCACATATTAGCACTCTTAGGGGAGGTGTGCATGTTTTTCCTTTCATTTTTCTCTTTAATGGAAAGATGATGCTTGTGTAATGGCTCTGATCAAAGCATTGCCGAACCAAAAAGCCTTTTATTAGTGGGAAAAACAAAACCTCTGGTGGGAGAAAAGCAAACCGAGCCAGAGAGTTATCTGGGCACAAGACAATGTACTAAAATGTTTAAAGCTGATGTCATCAATACTTTTATATAAAGAATAGATTAAATGGCTATGTGTAACACTCATATGACAAGCCTACATAGAATTAGCCAGTAGTTCCCTTCAAAGTGGCCATTGACTAAAAAAATTATAGGTGTTCAAACAGACTGTGTGTTTTCAGCTGATGGCCAGTGGAGCTAAACTGCTTTATTTAAAGGGCATCTATTTCACATGAACACGCGCATTCCCCCGGAGGAGCTGGAGGAAGTGTCTGGAGAGAGGGATGTCTGGGCATCTTTGCTTAGACTGCTGCCCCCGTGACCCGGTTCCAGATAAGTGGAGGAAAATGGGTGGATGGATGAATATTTCACATTAACTGTTTCTGGATTTTTATACTGCAATATTGAACAATGTATTCTATGTCTTACAGCTACTATCCAGAGTGCCCATACCCTCCTGATTTGAGCTTTGGTTGATTCTGACAGCCCCTTCTGGTTCCTACTGTGTTCTCTGTTTACAGGGGTGGGATTCCAGCCTATAATCATGTCAGTGGACAGACCCAGTGTCCTCCATGCCTACTTATATCCAAAGCAGCTGCCAGTAATGGGCTTTCTCTTCCCCAGTACCTCAACTTGTGGTGTTTTGTTTACCCCTCATGTTATGTTTTACAACACAACACCCTTGCAGAACATTCTCACTCATCCACCCCTACATGACTATAAAGATGTTTCCTACTTACTTCATTTGTATCATTAGTTCTTTTTGTTTGAAAGAATAAATTATTTTCTGTTATGTTCCTTGTGTGTGTGTGTGTGTGTGTGTGTCTCCCATTTTTTGTCGCTGTCTTAGAGCCGAGCTGTGACGCTATGCGTTCCAAGCCATGAGCCTTAAAATAATCGGAGAGCAACATGGCAGCAGAGGACAGATGAGTAGTTTGACCTCATCTGTCAAGGTTACTGTAGGAAGTGGCACTGGCTGTAGTATACAGTGCTAATCAAAGGTGGCCTGCGTCATATGGTACAGAAGTAAAAAAGATCAGATGTGACCGATACTGATGCTTCCTCACATTACAGCTGGGTGTATGCTAACCAAATAAATTTGTCTCATGTCTTGTCATAAGAGTTTCACTGTTTAGCCATAGCTTCAAGAGCTCCAGAGTTGATGTGTATGTGGCAAAAGCACCAAAGAAAACAGAAATAAATGAAGTCTATCAATAGTTAGTGTCATTGCTGCTATCTCCACATTTAAAATCTCATTTCTATATGATTGCAGAATCCACTGTATAAACATTTCTGTATTTTTTGGCAGTACAGGCCTTTACTGTATTTAACTCTCAACAGCACTTGATGATTTGAAATATTTATAACTCTTAGTTAACAAATGTTTGTGACATTATCAGAGAGTGTTTCAATATATAAAAAAATGTGTGCTTATGATTATTGCTGCTGGATGACTCAAGTGATGAGGTGCTGACACTAAGATTATTGTTTCTATTTTCATCGACGCATAAAATCAACACGTGGAGAAAATTACACATTTGTCATTTGTTTGGTTTCTTACTTGGAGATATGCAGGGAAAATAATGTTCAGATCCAACCAAGCTTATGGTCAGAGCCATGAGTCAAGCAAGATTTTGGAACAAAGCATTAGACATGTTGTGGTGACTTCATAAGCTTGATTCATTTCCTCTTTTTCACTTCCCCATTTTGAATACACACACTCACTAATGCAGTTCACCACAGATTCAAGTGGGTCATTAATGTGAATCAATGCACGCAATCAACCGAGCAAAGAGTACACTCTGTAGCTGCCATCAGAGGTTTCAAAGCAAAGTAGAGAATCTTGTAGCACTTCACGAAGGAAATAAATATTCCAAAAAAGAAACTGAAATTGCAAATGCAGATTATACTAAATTAACTTGGATGCTTGAATACAGAGTTACTGGTCTGAATTTGAGTGTTTATCAGTGCATTCTAACAACTATAACTTCTCATGTTGTAAAGAAAACCAGAGTATTTGCTAAACCAATGTATTGGACACCTTGAAAATGTGACTTGATGATAATGCTAGATGAAAGTAAGCACAAAAAAGGTCTGCACCAAATTGGATAATATTACATCAAACAGTTGCTGAAGCATTTACTGTAGCTTGGAATCACAAATGTCATCCTGCTGGTGTTGCAAGAGGAAAAGTCAGGAGATCACTCAAGCCATTAGGATTTGCCATCTGAAAACTCCACACATGAAAAATCCATAAATATTGACTTCACTAAATAAAAAGTTTGCCATACATGTGGCTATACAAGAAAAGCCAAAGGAACGGTAAAGTCAGCAGTCTTCAACCTCTGGGGATCATGAATTTGTGTACAAAATTTTATACCAAGCCATCCAGTACTTGATGTCTTGAATCTTGAGTCTGAATCACAGTGGTGAACCAACCAACACTGCCATCTGTAGCAAACAAGACAAAAAAAATGCCTGGGATTGCCCACCAGTCAGGAGAAATAAAGAATGAGTCAAAAAAAATGAATACAAGAGTTAATCTAGTTGGCTTTCTCTTTAACACCCTTTTGTGGTCCTGGTATAATGCGTGCTGGCTCACTGTCAACAGAGGCATCTGGGCTTTGGAGGACTTGTTTGCATGAAGCCAGTCAATTTATATAATGCAACAGTGTCACCATTCTACTACAGGCAGTAGCTAACTACG